TACTACCCCACGACAGATCTCGTAACATTTAGCTGACCTCGAAGGATGAAAGACGTCGTTGGATCGGGTACAATTCGTAGACTGTGTTCATGATTCGGGTGCAATTTCCCATTGATGAACTGATAGGAATTCTTGGATTCGCAGCCTCTTCCGGTCAACTAAGTTTTCATGTCCGCTGGATGCGGGGTCGGCGTCAGTTCTTCTACTTAATCGATTCAAAAAAACCAAATAAAACACAGTCAAAAGCGAAAAATTACAGCGTCATTCTCTCGGTAATGAAAAGCCAGTTGAGAAGGTAGATGGCAGAGAATGAGTTGAATGAACTCAGCCAATGCCGATACTTAGGGCGAAGTCATATACGGAAACACCAACATTGCCAAGTGGAGTACCGACGCCGACCCCGGTTCCGATTCCGAGATTGAGAAGGTTGCCGTCAAACAGAAAAGGGAAGCCATAACCTCCATAGCCAAAATATGCGGGATACCCATAACCGTATCCACATACATAGCACGGATAAGCATAGCGATAAATTGGGTAACTGAAATGCTTGCATAGAATAAAATTGATATGCAATTTCGGCGGAGGACTCAACTCGAGAGCCGAGTACGCGATCGGGTTCCACAGTTCATTCATGAGTCTTTAGAATGTTAGGCTGTCGCATTTGCCACTTTCAAGGTAGAGCTTAAAGAATTCTCGCGAACAGCTTAGCGGGTGCATGTTGGAGAAAAAGCGGTTTGCCTAACGAAGGAGCATCGGAAAAAAGAACACTTTCACATTTCGTCCTCTCTTCTACTGTGCTACTTTCGGTAGAAGATGATCTACGATGTTCCTGCAAGTACCTGTAGTAGCTCGGATAAGTGTAGTATTGGCTATTTCTCACGCTGTTGTAACGTTGCTGCCCTGTTGTGATCGCCCTGAAATCCTGTTGCACGTTGAAAGGAAAGACCATGGAAGGAAGAAACTTACCTAAGAGTTTCCTCTTCACTTCTCTCTTCTTTCAATTTTCGGAGAAGTTTACGGTATTTTCGGTAGAGGTATTTCTTCCACAAATAAAATTCGTAGTCGTCATCACTTTCTTCAATAGAATCATCCTATAAAGAATTTTCGTCACCGCTCTACTGTAAAGATTTGATTGAAGATGTAATTGTATTGCATCAGTGTCCAGGTTTGACCCTCGATGAATCTTGGCATGCTTTGGTTTTGCATTTCCCAATCATTTTCCCCCACAGGATTTGATGCATGTATTGCATCAAATCCTGTGAGGAAAAATGATTGGGAAGCGACCAAAGGGGTCAGCATTGGGAGGACTGGGAGAAATCGGTCACAACCTCTGGTGCTGGTGGTGGAGGGGACGTGGGAGCGAGGCATAGAGAGGGATTCTAGCGACCTGATACAGCGCTTAAAGGTGAAGCCCGCGATGATTCGCCATAACAGATAGTGGATTAGGGGTTTAGGGGTCTGTATGTAGGTCGTGAGTAACCCGATGGTGAAGAAAAAAGAAGCAGAAAAACATGCCAAATGCTCTAGATAGAACCCCATTCCGATCCCAGTTTGCACGTGCCCAGTCAACTCCATCTCCAACGCTACGCCCTCATCCGCACAGCTGATTCCCCGATAAGAACTCTACGACCGTACAAGTGACGATTTTCATGCTTTTTTTCCTGCAGCTTCGTAATCCACTGAAAGGCGGGCTTTGAAGGCGGAGTCTGGAGGCGGGGTCAGTGGAGAAACGAGGCGTCACTGAATTTATCTTGCGCTACAGCGCCTGTCCCTGACAATTTTTGCCGCGAAACCGGTACAAGGTTGTTCGTCGCGGACCACACTACCCTCCCGACGCCATATTTTCAACTTCTATACCTGATCGCGGACCATGCCTTTGATGACGCTGGCGCCATTCGTCTACATACCTCTTACCCATCGTTACTATAGGAACTGAACTTTCCCAAAAGCCTTGAGATGCGAACTGTGACTGTTCTATGATAGAAGAAAAAGTTTACCTCGATTCTCCCATTAGTTGATGCCTTTTGGAACATCAATTCTTTATTTCTGCGGAAAGTGGCCAGTTCCTTCCTGTAGGTTGACATGGTGAAAGGCTTAGAACAACTTTGCAGAGACGGACTTTTTTGGCATAGCCAATCTTGATGAGAAACATTTCTTTTGCGTAATTTCATATAATGAAAGCGACAACTAACCGTGGAATTTTTTCCTTTCTTCAAAGCCTCCCTCTACGAATAATAGGCTGTACAAAAGCAACAGAGCGATTTGTGGTTTCATCTGGAAGCAAGATTACTAAGATTCTGATTAGATAACGACAATGGGCACGATAACTCGATTAGATGTATACTGTAACTCCATATTCCGACAAAAGGGAGGGCGGGCTGTGTTTCATAGCTGAACGTGGCGCTGCTTGCGTTTTTATGAGATTTTGCTGTTTAGGAGCAAATGTTGTGTCTTTGCTCGGAATAACCAAAATGGCAGCTGTTGCAGGCTACAAAAGGTCACGAAAAACACTACTATTACCTTCAAATAAAGTCTGAGGCCACGCTCCTCTCCCCCGCATTGGATATGCGGTGTCTGGTACAGAAGGATACAGGGTCCTTGAGCATGCACTCCGTAGCGCTTCCTGCAGAGAAGGGCGCGCAATCTGCGCACTAGCAAGATCTAACGCTCTAAATGCCCCTCCCACTGAAAAAATTGAAAAGGCAGCTCCGAAAAGCAATGTGTTGGGGCCGGATCGACTGTCTCCACACACAATCTGCTGCTGACCGGCGTTCATCTTACATCGACAAGGTTCCCTTTGGAGCTGTTATTGCTGAACGAAATTTCTTTGCGAGGCATGTTGCGGCTCTCCTGCGACGTTCTGCTCGTTTCTGGATTTCATTCACTTATTCAGGGATGAGAACACAATCAAGAAGATCAGGAAGAACGCACCGAACCCATCGTAGACTGCCACAGCGAAGGTGTCGAACCAGTCTAGAAATTTCAGTACCTGAGGAGCAATCTAGTAGCTGATGGAAGCGCTCACCAGGAGGTGGCTCGAGTAAATGCAGCTCGGATTAAATGGAGGGAGTCCACAAGCATCCTCTGCGATGCTCGGGGACACTCAAGGGCAAGGTGTCCCGGGCGATGGTAAGGCCTACAATGAGACGGAAACGAGGACGTCAGGGCGGTCACACAGACGGCTCCGATCCAGCTGAAGGCACGAGAGCAGCGACTGCGATGGTATGGGCACGTACTGAGGAGGCCTGAAGACCACCCAATAAGGAAGGCATTGGAATTCGAAGCAGAGGGCAAGCGACCACGAGGAGCCCCAAAGAAAAAATGGAAGGTTTCATCAAGAAAGGAACTCACTGGAGGCCCTTCCCGACTCAGGTAGTCGAACTGATGCGGTTCTCTGATCGAATGCATCTTGGCAACGTCACCTTTCCGGGCAGTTCTACGGAAAATGGTGCTATGATGGATAACACTACTTTTTATTCGATTGGTCGGAAATTATCGAAGCACATGACCTCCTCTTATTGGGACACTTTTTTACTTATGATACTGGCCTGACTGCCTGGCCACATCAGAATAGTATGGATTTCTCACTCGCAAGCTCAGCGTCAGTTATGCAGTACAATTTCTCTACTGCTTCTTTCTGGCTTCTCACTTTGCGAAAGTTAAGAGAACATGAGAGTCACGGAGAAAAAACTGCTGTTAAACTACTATTCAAAGAGCTAAAAATCGGGCTAGGGGTAGTTGTAGCAAAGAAAATTTCAAGATATCAGCAGAGGGCAATGAATGGATAGTGTTAAGAATTCCTCCGAGAAGCGAAAAGAATCACTAGAAGGACGAAAAAGGCAGAAAATGATGTTTCATAACAACTAGGGATAGCATTTGGCGCTATTATCATATTAAGCCTTACGGAGTGACGGGATGATAGATCGTGCAACCACGCTGAGAATGAGTATAATCATCTGAGAAGTTCTTAATAGACTGACCCTTCAGTAAACCGGTTCTCAGTGAAAATCAAAATTGAAGAGTGTTCGAACAGTCATATGTTCCCAAAGTTAACCACGTCATCTGGGATTTCTGACTCTTCATAAAAGAAATAAGGCGTTGTTCGGGTTGAAGGGGCCATTTTGCACTTCAACTAATTCTTTTGTCTCATGTCAACTACTTTTGTCCGACCTGTAAACTCCTGTGAAGACAGAACCTAAGCGAATGCCACAGGGATTCGCAGGTCTTCTGAAGATGCCCTCTGCAAGCCGAACAGCGCCAGGAGTTGCAATTGTTTGAATCAGCTTAATTTATTGAGGGAAATTGAGAGCGTTCATAAATGGAAGACCATTTGGATCGAATACTCATCAAAAGAGAAATTGCTCACGTATGACCTTGGTGAAAGCCGATTTCACTACAGAATGGCACAAATTGAAGTAAATTGTCGACCAAAAAACTTTCAAATGCGAAAGGTGAAAGGGAGACCGAATAAGAGCAGGGAACATATTTGAATTTCGCCCTTGCGTTGACAAAACTCCAGCTGCAAGAAGTTAAGCAATCAGATGCATATCTATGAATTTGAAACAAAAAAAAGACAAAGGTGTTCGGTTTACCATTCAGAGGAAGTTATCAATCTCCACGTTTCGCTAGACACACCTTAAAATCTTCACCATTATGAACTACGAACTTGCGACAACCCACAGTAGTCTATCTACGCACCTTAGACTATACAGGGGGGCCAAAAAAAGTCACTTTCCTTCATTGACTTTCGAGGCGCTATAAGTTACACTTTATTAAATTCTGATCGGACATTTTTACCACCATATTAAAGAGCATATTAAATACTATCATGACACTCCGCCACAGCCTTCTGGACGAGCGCCATCGAGAGATTCTGGCACGCGACCGCGATGTGGTGCCTGAGATCAGCGAGATAGTCGATTTCTCCGCCACCGTAGACCACCCTATTGAACTCCGAACCGGGTAATTGAGGGGATTCAGGTCAGGTGACCTACTTGGATATTCCATCTTCTTTAGGTACTCAGCCCCCTTCCATTCCAAGTAGGCGAGAGTTTCTCCAACGCCCTTCGATTCCATGTGGTGGCACCCAATGCTGTAGCAGTACAAAGTTTCCAAGAAGGTACGGACGACGACATGTGAGGAGGATATTCTTCACGAGTTGCTCGATGTAACCGCCAGCGCTCACCTTCAGTCCGGGGCCCACGAAGAAAATATTGGTCTTTCCATTCCAGGTACGTCCGGTCCATACCATCAACCCGCGCCTTGGCGACTGTGGTGATGATGTCCTAGACCGTGGCGACGTTGTCGGAGCTGCTCGATGTTGGAGGTCATCCAGATCGAGAGTACTGGTCTCCAGGTAGCTCCATGGGTGACTCCATACTAGAAGTTTCGCAGCTGTTTGGAGGTGACATGAATTCCAAAGGTCTTCTCCAGTCAGGCTGCGACTGGAGATGACTTCATATTTTGGTGTACATGAAGGTGATGGGCGAGAGCCAGCTCCTGCTTATCGAGGAACATCTTGGGTATCTTCCGCCCTGGTACTCGTATCCACGTCCTCTGTCTGGGCAGCGAAAACTTTGCTGATATGTGACTCAGTCGAAGTGACTTTTTTTGGCCCCCTCTGTATACAACCGATTCTTTCTCATTTAAGTGCGGAGATTGGAACCCTATACCATTCGTTTCTGGCGCTGGCACCAGTTTGACGCATCCAACCTTTCTCACCGAGTTCGGTGAAATCGTGCACCATAGGGTTGACTGATACCCGATTACGAAAATGAAATTCGTTTTTTTGCACCAGTGCAATTTAGCGCTCTGTTATGGCTGAGCCTGAGAGGAGGAGTAATTCCCTTCCCGCCAGGCTCGTCCAAGTGTTCAGAGCGCCCTACATAAGCGACGGTGCTAGGAATGGTTGTCATCCGTATACAAATTTTTATAGAGTTAGTGAGAAAAGAGGATGCGGATGATCTCGTTACGGTTTCTTCAATATACAAGTTCTCCTGTTTGAGCATTGGGGAAAGGGAGCCACTAACTGTACATCTCCTACTGTAGTGGTCACAGTTGGCGCTGTTCCATGTATAAGTCTCTATTTGCGCAAAAACCTTAAGAAGATCCCTGAGAAGCTGTCGGTCAAAAATTTAGCTTGAAGTTCTCGACGCTCCTGAGGTGACATTACTCACCTTACTATACGGGAGCGTACAGAGTTGCGATGTATTAAATGACGATGTCAGTACGACCACAACCCCCCCTTCCCCCACCCCAGAATTCCCTTCTTTGGGACAACCTTGATGGAATCCTCTCAAGCTGTACCCTGGAGAAACTTCAGTACCTCTGAGGATGTTTTGATGCGCTGAGAGCTGGAACTATGAGTTCCGTTTTCTTTACCCACTACTTTTTCGATTGCCCTGCTCCAGAACGCATTTTTCAAGGGGATCGTCTTGAAACGTACCAGCATCGCTTCTTCCTGAATCCTAATGTGGCAATAGTGCCGCACTGCCACAGGTTAAGGATGAATCGAGGCTCTTCCCGCGTACTATGGAGCCACTATGGTCCTTCCATGCGAGTTCCGCTCCATAGCTACAGCAGGTTGAGCACAATGTGTAACGCTAGCATAATTCGGGTGGGTCGGGGCATGCGATTGCGCCTCTCTATCCCTTCCTCCAACTGAGACGTTGGCGTCTCCACGAATGTCACTCTTGAGAGTGGTTCAGAGGAAGACACAGAAGCGATGCCAAAAGCGTCTCTCCAACAAGATTAGCGCCCAAAACAGACAGTTTTATTCTTTCGAGTTAAAGAGGCTGCAGATGCCGCTGGGCCCTGCAAACGTTCAGTGATCCTGGGTACCCGTGCCATGTCTGTAGATTCCGCTGCATATTTCAGATGGAGCCAAGAGATATTCCTCGTGATCTAGCAGCACCGGAACCTTAGAAGCTGCAAAAAGCCGCCCATGCTCACGCGAGTAGTTTCTGTATTTTCTCAGAGAGGTCACTCGGGTGAAGACAATCACCTCAAGCATGCAGGTTCCCAGTTGAAAAGGGCTAACTTCTTTCGCAACTTCCCAGTCACCAGCGAAATCGGAATCTGCGCAGGGTACGGTGGACGCGAATGTGGTGCACTTGCACTATATCAACTGCAGCTCACGCCAACACACTAGAAGCTTTCATTACGGAACGCTTTTCAGTTGTGTGTATTTGTAAATGAAATGATGTTTCGTTATTATCGTTTTTGAGGTATCCAGATGTCGGACAATGCCGGATTCCGACAGGATATGCCCCCTCCGGGGGGCTATCGGAAGTTCAACTACGCACGCACATTTCCAAAGCTCGTTTGGAGGCGTAAGTTTACACCTTATTTGATTGTACTTGTTTCATTCAACGTCTCTTTGGTTGGAGTGCATTTGTACTGAGACTAGACATTTCCGAACATTCATGAGTTAATTTAGCTGGAGTCGTTGTGGCTGCCGTATTCGGAGCAACAGTTGTTGGTTCATTTCAGGCTATCGCCAAAAAGAAGTCTATAGTGTGAGTTTGCCTGAATGTCTATTCAAGTTCCGTTGTAGGTTTTGAGAAGCGAGTTTTCTTAATGTCGGTGTCGTGTTGTTTCAGAACGGAGAAGTTCGAAGATGTAGACATTAATAACGCAATGGAGCCTTTTCTTACGGCTGAACGTGACAGATAGTTAGGTTTTTTGACAGATACAATCGTTATTTCATCAAATTTCCAATTTCGCATTAATTTCGCATATTGCAGTTGGCTGAAGTTGTTGAAGAAAAATAGAGATCTAGAAGAAGAGGTCATGAAAGACGTCCCTGGATGGAAGACAGGTAATTTTCACGTTCTAAAGTCCTTTTTATCAATTTTGCTCAAGCAGCAAACTGATAGTGAATTTTGAGTCAGTAGTAGTCGAATGCAGTTTCTGACTCAAATCCACTTTGCTGTGCATTTGGACGTTTTGTTTTTTTTTTCTTTTGGCCGATCTACTATCTAAATGCAATGTTTCTGGAGATCTTCCACATTCTTTTCATGCACTCGCTTCATTTGCAATTTGCACTCTTCCAGATCACTACCAGGAATTTTCGTGAAAGATCCTTACTACATATCAATTGCTTTGTTTGTTTGCTTGTTTGTCCGGAAACGGTTCCACCTGAAGAACTACTTGCACAGTCAAGTAAGGTGTGGATGAGGTCAAGAAGATGGCACGTATGACCTATGTATAACCGCAGGCGCCCACAATTGTTGGGGGGGGCTGCTGACCAAGTGAATGATTTATACCAGAAATTTCTAATGCGCGAGGCTCGCATGAAAATATGGACCAACAGTGCACGTAAAACTGACATTCGCAATGAAAAGTGCCCTCTGTCAAGTACCCGTCCAGCCTCACGCCCTGTTCGTGAATTCGCCCATGTACGCGCTAGCTCATTATGAGAAATATACCATGCTTGTATTTACTCTCTTGTTCTATACTCACTTCGATGTCACGATCAGCTCATGCTCCGTCAGCAGTAAAATAAAATCAGAGGACGGAACGCCTGGGATGCCACATAGCATAAAAAACTATGCTTGGTCAATTCAATACATAGTCTGCTTCTTATTGTTACCACGGTTACAGACGGCCGTGTTTGGGCGCTGAAGGTAGTATTAATTAAGAAATTAAGTTGGCGCTTTGAGATTTGTATATGTCGGAAAATTCGCGGCAGAGGCGGGGTGGCTTTTTCATTATCGCTGCTGCATTTAGTTCCGATGATATAACTCTGTAAGACTGTTGAAACTGTTTGTGAAAGCTGGTACAACAGCGACAGACATCTGTTAACCGGATTCTCTATCGCTGTGAGGGTCCAGAGGTGTTTTCTCATCGCATCTTCTATTCGAGCATTGAAAGGAAGGAAAATAAGGAAGGAGGTGAGAGGAAGGTAGAAAAAGGATGGAGGAAGGAAAAAGGAAAGAAGAGGAAGGCTTCGCGGTTCACAGATATCCGGAGACCGCACAACCATCGAGCCGCCGTCGTGAATGGTATTACTACGGTTTTTCATCGTTTTGCGAGAGCTGATAGGTAGCCTCTACAAGCTTTGTCTGGAATCAATTCGTAGCTTCACAAGATCCCACAGTTCTCCACTTGGTGGCACAACTCGTCAGTGGAGAGTAGTCAGAGGCAGACTGCCCCCCCCCCCAAAAAAAAAACCAGTCGCCGAGCTGCGTCGGCAAAGACTTTATAGCTTTTATCCTTTATAGTCCAATGTCCCTCTTTCCTTGTTCTCTGTGTTTCACTTGAAAAACAATGCCGCTTGAGAAGTATGATTTCCTGTGAAGTATCTTGTCATTTAAGGAACATGGTATGGTGAGCCAGTATACTTCACCTTAGGAGACAAGTGGTGGGATCCTTCCCAGCATGAGGTGACTAGTTTGCTCGATTTTGTTCCACATGTTCATGGCTTTTACCTCTGAACAATTCTTGTAGATATACGCACACTCGCAACGGCACGTGTTTTTCAAAGACCTCCTCTGGCGTCATCACTCCGAATATTCGGCTCCGAAGTTCTACGACAAATGGATACCAGATTGGATCGGCAAATATATTTGGTAGATTTAGTTTGTATAGGTTGTTTGGTTGAAGAATAAATAGTAGCATAGCGTTCTTCATGGCTTCAGTTGAAACTGGAAGACATATAAATGATTTTATTTTTCATACTCGTAGAATGTATTTATGATCTGTGACTGGTCACTTTGAGCTGTTCTTCATGGATATACTGTAACCTCCTTCACCATTTGGAACCATTTCAAAGCTATCAGTCGAGAGCCCAAAGGGCCGCAAACATACGTTCCCTGAAATTCGTGGAATCGAGTCAAAACAGTAACAAAGCCTGATTTGTCAGGGACCTACCTAACTCTTTGAGCTTTGCTATCATCTCAGCTTTCAACTTTTCGTCACGTTCGGTAATTTTTTGTCGCAATTCTTCGATTTTTCTCAAATACTGAGTTCGCTGAGGGAACCTCTCCTGGAATGATGCGATAAAAGCAGAAGGTGGATAACCGGCGGTGTTCGCCCTTGAAGGGTAATTTCGCATCTTCGAAATCAATGTGAAGACGTATGTTTTTGTGAGGCTCGGCGAAGCATATGTTGGCCGCTTTGTAAAAACTTTTAAACTCCGAGGAAGCTAATAAAGCCATAAGCAATGCCATTTCGAAGTGTGCATGGGTTCATAGGTTTCTTCGAGAACAGCTTTGCAGTAATTAGGGGTCTCACTGAAGCGAGATCTATCGAACTAACACGACGTCCCCCCCCCCCCCCTCAGGCGAACAGCACCGAATAACTCTAGCATTGTTATCGCAACGGTGCTAAGTATTAGTGAAGATATGCGGCCTCGGGTAAGGGTTATAGGGCTTCTGTCAACCTCAACCAAGCATTCTCTCGCTGCGAGGGTTCTGAGCATTTCTCCATCGCATCTAGTGGTCAAGCAATTAATGGGAGAAGCAAAAGGAAGAGAAAAGAATAGGAGAAAATAAAGGAAGTG